GTAGAGGTCTGGAGATGATTACGCGTGAAGTGTCGATGGTTGATCCTGCAGCGAGGGCAACAAACCAATTAGCAACAGAAAAGTTGCCACTGTGGTGACTGAGCACCGATTAAATACCATGGTAATCATGCCGACATGGTAACAGATAGGAGAGGCACCTTAACTGCTGTGTGCTGGAACTATCTATGTATCTTTGTATGTGTATTTGCGAAATGTTGCAGTGTCGTATGTGACCGAAAGAGAGATAACCCTACCTATCTATCAGGAACACAGAAAAACATACACACGCCTAAAAAAAAAGAAAAAAAAAGAAAAAAAAAAGCTTGTCCATAGTAACACCGGTTGTTCTCTTGTTGTTACTTTAATATTGAACAAGGAGAAGCAAAGAACAAGAAGCAGCAGAGAGGTACTGACCTTGGAAACCTCTGTAGGAATGGAACAGAATCATAAGGGGAAAGAAGGTAAACTGATTACAGAAGAGTGGGAGAAGGTAGAGTGAGGAAATGGAGAGAGTGAGTTAGAGACTCTTAAGAAAGATGGGCGCAAACACAGAGCGAAGCTAAACTGATTACAAAAGAGAGGGAGGACATAAACATAAAATGATGGAAGCGATGGCAGGTGATCATCTGAACGGAAAACAGATAATGAGAGAGGGGGATAAAGATGTGTGTCTTCTCTTGTGAGCCTCGGCTGTACGCGTTTGCCAGTACAGTTTGTCGTCTTTATATCGTTTCTTAGGGAACGCTCTATGAATTCTGCTGTCCATATGTGTGGATCATTTCCTGATACAAGAATGAGTACAAAGTGACTGTCAATCAAGGGTCCTGACCAGAAACAAGCCCGAGACAACAACAACTGTCCCCTTTGGGTTATTATCATAAAGATGGTTCCAATTTGATGTTGATTAAGATTAAGGCTTTTTTCAAAAATACCATCAAAATCTTTCAGGTCAGAGAAAAATGAACACAAAAGCAATTTGACTTGCTTTCAATGCCTCTAATGTTCTTTTCTTCTTTTTTTAATTCAAAAAGCCAGTCCAAAGATAATTATGCTGCTGAAGGATGCAAGAATAACTTCTTATTTTTTTTAATAATCTTTTTTAAGGTAAGATTTCAAGATTTCATGTATGATAATCATATAATGATTATTAGGTAAAGCTCATCATCATGCACAGTACATTGCAGTAAAGCATCTAAGACTTTTATTTTTTTTATTTTATCATTGCTTTTTCACATTTAAAAAAAAAAAAAAAAAAAATACATTAAAAAAAACACGATCCAGACAGGAAAAACAGGAACGACAAACTCAAAACTACAAGTGCATCTCAAACCACTGAGAGTCTCAACATAATCTGCACTAATGCTGCTTCTCTATTACTTAACAACCAGCAGTTGACCACAACCTCCAACCCAGAAGTGTCTATTTTAGACTGTTGGGGCTTCTTTCTGGACAGACGGACAAAGCAAAAAAATAAATAAAAAAATGGGGGGGTGGAAAACATAACTTGATTTGATTGCAGGAATTATATGACAGTGAATTAAATGCAGCTCATCTACTACTAATATACTGATTTTAATCAATTATATTCAAGTTTCCTTCAGTTGTGTTATCTGCCATCAGGCCACATGTGGCATTTCATTTGTGATCGTCGCCATGACTTTGCTGGTCACTAGCACCATCCAGTGGCCTTTGATAAATAAGAGCATTTTAAGTGTTTTCATTTTTATTTTATTTTGATTGTGTAAATACATGTTTATCATTATGTTCATTCTAAAGAGCTTTTATTACCACGTATTTTTGTTCATTGTTCATTATTATTTACATAAACTTTTTTTTGCCAGCTTTATTGTGTTTATATGTGTGACACTTATGAGGGGAATCTGCATCAGTTACTTAGCAGCTAACATTCCAGTCATGGTGTATCTATGACAAAGTTACAATTTACAGGTAAAAATCATATAAAGGGAGTTATGTAACATGAAGTGTAATATATTTGTGTTTGCAGAACAACTTGCATAATTACAATTGGCCCTGAGAGGGAAAAAATTCAAAAACTGGAGTTAGGTATTTCCGTTTTGAATTATGGAGAGACGCCATATGAAACTGAACATCAGGTATGTAGAGGAGACAAAAAGGGAGGCAGAGGTCAAGTTTAACACTGGTACAAAAGGTCAAGTATTTACCTTGGGTCATGAGAGATTTTATCTTATAGCTGCCCGCTCAGGAGGAAACCTTGAGATATTGATTTTTCAGAAAGATTTTCCTTTCTTTGTACAGTTGTTCAAATATGTGCGACTTTAAGATTCAGACCTCTTGTATCAGTGTAAAACCAGCTGTAAAAGTACGCGCGGTTTGATTTTGCGTAGCTCACAGCAGGAAAGGTGTACAGTTAACTGACAGAGTGGATGTTTTCAAATGTAATTGGTGATGTCATATGTGAGGAAGTAAAAGGGATGGGAAACCTTATGAGGATAAAAGCCTAAAATATTTTAGTCATCAGCTGAAACAAACATGAACCCAAAGGTCATGACAATGCCTCTTTTATACAATTTGATCATCGACATCACTGACAACTTTAAAGGCTGAATTCAGTCATACAACATCTATTTTTTTGAACTCCGACATTAGGAATTGTTTAAAAAAAAAAAAAAATGAAAATAGCATAGCTCCACCTCAGATTTGAAGTGTACAGTTTACCAGAAGAATCGATTTTCTGTTAAAAAAGCAAAAGCGAGACAAGGGAGGTTTTCATGAGCAGAGCACGTGTAGGCCTCCAGGAGATGATCCTTCATGATGTGAAAATGAAGAAAGTAGTATTAAGATATCTAAGTATGTAAAAAAAAAAAATAATATTTTCTATTTCCAGTGTGTACAGTTGTGTACTGTCAGCTATATTTGGCAAATTTCTGAATATGAAAAAGCAGTACAGTTAATAGTTTGTATGTTTGATTTTTTTAATTTAAGTTTTTCTTTTGTTCCTTTTTTGTAAAAGCAGTGTCTACTATGCAAACTTGGCATTGGTTATCATGATAGAAGTCTTTATCTAGAGCTGTCCTTGTACGTGCACTCCTGGTTTTACTATCGGGAGTGATTTGATTTGATTAGTGTGGGATAGTGTTGGTCCATTTTAGCTAGTTCTGGCACGCTTCATGAGTCTTGCTCAATCTTGCTGAATGCTTGCCTCTCTATCTCCTCTAATTGTTCTCTGTACAAAGTGTAAGAAAGAATTTTTAAGACAATTAATAAATTATATTTATAAGCAATGCTGAAAACCTGTGCTGCATTTGGTGGCTTATTTCAACATAACTTTTACTTGCGTGCAATATCCCAACTTGGTCAGAAATCCGATTTGTAGCGCATGAAAAAAGATATTTTTCATTTCCGATACTTATTTTTCTTATGATTTCTGTGAAATTCACATTTACATGCTCCAGACTCAATAATTTGTGGGATAAAGAAGCCTGAAGAGGAGGAAATTGAAACGGAAAATCCTTATGGTGTCACTATTTAACATGCTGTGTGCTCAGCAGCACCAGTGGGTTGTAATGAGGCATGCTGCCTTTTTTTTTTTTTTTTCCAACAAAGAAAATATGGAGCGCGTGTCTTAACAGTAAGAGGCAATGACTTGTTAGTATTCACCTCATTCAGCTACCACAAATTGAACATCAGCCATTTGGATGAGTGAAACACTTTATTGGGGGGGAATGTTCAACCTTTTACTGAATAAAAACACGACTTTCTCTCACGGACAGCTACAGCAGATACAGATCAAATAAGGCACAACACCCAAGAGGAAAGAAAGGGCATTTACTGTATATCACAACAAATCTGCCACACCAAAACCTCCATCCACAAGAAAAACGCTGTCGTTTTGTTGACAAGAGCAAGATTGAAATTCAGTGACCTCTGAAGGAAATGGAAATGGAAACTGAGGAATTATGAAAGCTAAAAAATAAAATAAAATAAGCCAGTCAGAGAAATCACTGATGTCGTGACAGCACACCACTGTGGATGACCTAACAAGGCCCCTAACTGTGATAACTTTTTACCTGGAGAAATATGTCATCATGAAGTTTCCCAACAGTGGAATGTTTCTATGTGAGAGTTTGAGTTAATGGAGGAACTTGCCTAATAGAAACTGACTTGATCAGTGCCAAAGTGCCATTTGCGTTCAACAGAACTGGTTTATTATACTGAAATAGTTTAACACTAATGTACATGTATAAGGGCGGCTTGTAAGTAGGAACTAAAAATTTCATAAAGTCAACAAGTTAACTTCTTGTGGTTTAAGTGCGCCCCAGGGTGGCTGTGGCTACAATGTAGCTTGCCATCACCAGTGTGTGAATGTGTGTGTGAATGGGTGGATGACTGGATATGTAAAGCGCTTTGGGGTCCTTAGGGACTAGTAAAGCGCTATATAAATACAGGCCATTTACCATTTAATATTTTGGGTGAGGCTTGGGTGCTTTCTTGAACCAGCCAACTTCTTAGTGCACTCTTTCACTATAAGGGCATACTGCTAAACCCACTGCTTTAAATACACTCCATCTTTTTGTTATGGGAGCCACAGTCATTGGGAATTAGTGAATAATAACAATGAGCCGTGACATGGCAACTTTTGGCACCCCTAAACTAACAAAAATCCACACATTTATAATGGATCACTAGATAATCAAGCAAAACTTCACCTTACAGTTTGTGTGAAGCAGTTCCAGATTGTGTGATAGGCCTTCCTTCCTGTACTTGCTCTACAGTGGCTATGGGGGGCACTGCTCTGCTTTAACCATTCCACTGGTGAAACGCCGCCTCTTCCGAGGCAGGTTTTATTTTTAATACATGTCCCAAAGAAGCCTAAAGAAACACAGAGGTCATTAGAGCCCCAATCTAGATTTATTTATACATATTAACTTATTTATTATTATTACGTTGTTTTTTTTGTTTTTGCAAATTACCTTAAAGTTGTACATGGAAAACGTTTGGTATTCTCATTAGCTCACAAAACAAATTTACCTTTTCTTCAGTGTCTACAAATGGTATCACCACAATCGAAACGTGTACACCTTCAAAATATGTTTATTTCTGTCACAGTGTCACTTGTCATAACAAAGAGCAATTTAAAGCTATTTAAAAGTGACAAAAGTGTATTCAATCCAAGGAAGTGTTTAGAAAGGAGGTGTAATGCTGCAATAACAGATTGCCTTGACGCACATCCCTTCGGTTCTTTTAATCAGACCTTCATCTACGGGTAAGGTAGCTTTCACAGAAAGCAATCATATAGTCTTCCACTCTCTGGTCAGTAGCCTGTTTGTGTATCTCAGCATGTACAGTGCCAAGTCAAACTCAAGTCTCTTTCTCCAAGGCCTTTGGAGCATGTGAACAGGAACCTATATCTGGCTTTAGAGTCTTCACACTAGTCGGAAATGTAATTGTCTCATCTTCTTTGAAGAACAGAAGAGGACCATGCACAGTTAGTTCTGATTGTTTTTGAGGGGACTTTGCAGATTTCTGAGCATTTGAACTCAAAGTATGTCATCATGGGATCCCCCAAGTGATCTTCTGCTTCATGTTCCCCCTCCTTTCCCCCCCAAAAAAATAAAAAACAACAACAAAAAAAAAAACCCAGCTTGTACGGCCTGGAATAGAGCCAGTGTTAGTACCTGCCTTTTGTATGGGTGTAAACACACACCAGGCAGTGCTTTCTCACAGCTTGATATCCTGTGATTCTGACATTTTGGCAAGTGTCTTTTTGACCCGTAGGGCTGTGAGGCGGCAGGCTGGATTGTGGGCCCAGCATTCTGTCATCAGCTTTCCCATCTGTCTCAAACACTGAGGAAACACAAACTTATGTTACAGAGATTGCCGATTTGTTCGTTTCTGCAAGAGTAATGTAGAATATTTTTCCATGTTTTACCTCATCGCTGGTCCACCGATTAGGAAAGGATGGTCGTAGCTTCTTGATGCAGACCACCTCTCTCATGTCTTCATATGAAGGGTCTGTTGGAACCAGCTCATGGTACGGTAACTGGTACTCTTCAAGGATTCCTACAATAAACACGTTACAGAAGAGTCACATTCCTCTCTGACGCTGTTTAGCTTTTAGAAGGTGTTACAACTATTTATTCACTCCATTTACCTCCTGAGATGCAGCGACGTGCAATCTCCCAGAGAATGAGCCCAAAACTGTACATGTCAGCCATGATGTAAGACTGAAAGTGACTTCTGTTCAAAGTCTCTTCCAGAACCTCTGGAGGCATGTAGCGCTTTGTACCGACTCTTGTATTGGGGGGAATATCTACTTCATTTGTGTCACTAAAGAGTCAGACATCAAAGTAATAAGGACAAAAATTACTTTAAATACATGAATTCCAATATTTCTCATCATTCATCCTAAATAGAACACATTCATGAGAAATTCACCTGATAAACTTGACAGCCAGTCCTAGGTCAGCTATACAGCAGGTCCCATTTCTTTTCACAAGTATGTTCTTACTCTTCAGATCCCTGTGAGCAATGGCAGGTTTGCCCTGGGTGCCAAAGATCTCTGTGTGGAGGTGACAGAGTCCTGACACAGAGGAGTAGGCCAGTCGCAGCATAGCTTTGTTGTCTAGAGTGGTCGATTTGAGGTAGTCATACAATGATCCATTTTCATGGTAGTCAGTTATTAAGTAGAGTTGGGTCCAAGAGCCAGTTCCTTTAATATCTGCAGCTATAAAACCTGTGAACAGGGGGATGTATGGAACACAAAGAAAGATGGACCTTAACATTCAGCAGTTTCCCCCATTGTTGAATTTCATGGGAGTACAGAACAATTTCTGACATATATACTGTGGGTTCTTTGGTTCTTTTCTTCTTCACTGACTGTCGTTTGTGCATTGACAATATGTAGGAAGCTGTGCAGAAAACCGATCTTTCAGTGAGTTTGGGCAGTTTTTCACTAATATCTGCCATTTTATGATATCATATTTCAGGATAACAAATACTTATAAAGACAAAGTTAATGGTGCAATACAGAGAAGGCTCGCACAGTGTGCAGTGTGATGTAGCATCAAAAACACACTGGACCACCAACAACGACATGCTTTCAATAGCTGACAGTTTGACTTAGGACTGGTTAGTATGGTGCTATTATATTACTTATACAATTTTTTTTTAAAATTTGCCCCTTTACATCTCCTTTCTCTGCACCTTTTTTGATTTAGCTGAAGTCAAAGAGCAACACAAAGCACTGAGAAACAAAGAAATTCTCACATAGGTGCAGAGACAAGGTAGTAAGTACTAGACAAGCAGACTCACCCAGTATGTTCTCATGTCTCATTAAGACAGTCTGGTAGATTTCAGTCTCTCTGAACCAACTCGCTTCCTCAGTGGTGAAGAAAACTTTAACAGCTACCTTTTCTCCCCTCCACCTGCCCATCCACACCTCTCCGTATCTCCCCTTGCCTATCTGCTTCACCATCTGAATCTGCTTGGCTATCGTTCTCTGGACCTGAGGAGAAGCAAAAAAAAAAGAGAAGGAAATGCTTAGATAAAATCTGACCCATGTGTTTCACCACATCTGTCATATTTCTTCAGAATTAAAACTCCAGTTTAAGGTTAAGTGAACATCAGATGTGGGAGCTATGAAGTAAAATCAGGAATGGTACTGTTTTATTGTGTCTTGGCACATTTCTCAAGGTTTACCCAAGATTAAAAGAAGTCCCCCAAAACAAATACTTGTAACTTGTAGTTATAACAGTGTATTAATTACACACAGAAATTAAATACCGATATTGTGTCAATGATGCACACATTATTTGCAGACTGTCGACACATTTGCCAAAAAGGTCAAACACCCAATAAATGCATTTTCTAAAAACATTGCAATAATGCCAAAATTTGATATCATGATGGGCATATAAGTATCAAATGTACAACTATTACACACCCTGATGTTAGAAAAAAACAAAATGAATTTGGACCAAAGTACCAGGATGTTCACGTCCATGAAGCATCTTTTTGATTTAACTGTCACTTAGATGTAGTGAGTGTGTCTCACCAATAGAGGGAGCCCTGAGCCTGAGCCAGAGCTTTGTGATTGCTCTATCAAGTCTTTCAGAGATTCTCCAGGGGGGATGTATGTCTCATCCTGTTCTAGACCAATGCTGTAGCGAGGACGAGACTCCTGTCGTTTATACCTGTAAAATATCACAATATGTCAGTTTTAATTATTCACTAAAGAGAGGTTCAATAAACCCTAATGAAGTTTGTTTTACTGTTTCATTGTAAGATGTAATTACCTGATGTAGCAGAAAATAATAATGACAGCCAATATAAGGGTGCATACAGTGACTGAAATCAACAAGGCCACATGGTGGATCTTCCCATCTACGTAGACTAGAGGGGGAGGATGAAAGAGACATTGAAAAAAGCATCAGAAATGTTTAAAGTCATGAAAAGTCATTTATCAAATTCCTCATCTAAGTTAAATGCAAAAAATTCTTGCATGTCAAAATGCAATAACTCTCTTTGTACTCCAGAAACGTCACATTAAAACACAGGAAAAAACAAAGAATTTGAAATTTCAAAGTGCCTCATGTAAAGGAAACAAAAAGGACTCAAGTACAGTAAGCTGTGTACAAATCATATTTCACTCATCAATTTTTCATTTTCTTCTGGCACACACTTTCTTCCCTCAAGGCCCCAGTCAACAGCGAGAGGAAGCCCTTGACCAAGTCGATGAATTCCCTCTCCTGATCCCCTATGATAGGGTTTCAGATTGATGAATCTGCCCTCAGTGTCTGCTGGGGCCTGTGATTTCCCTGGGAATCTAGGCTTACTTTCTCTCAAACACACGGAAAGGCTCTCTCGCTCTCTCTCTCCCTCACACACACACACACACACACACACACAGGCAGTCTAATTCTGAACAAGATGAGACATCAGTTTGCTCTTGACACGCCAGGACGGTTTGACACCGTCTCCTTCACTTGAGCCTCCTTTGACTCAATGAAAATGTCATGTCTCTGTCTTTTATCTCGTGTCTTGTCACACCATCAGCCACAGTTCAGGATCTTGTATCTATCATTGTAACTGCCGCTGCCAAACTGGAGAACTACTGGTGTTTTTGTGCATTTCATCTGCAACGAGGGAAAAAGCAGAAATTGGATAAATTAACTCACGAGGAGGTTTGAGTGGTGGCAGCGTAGGATGCAGATTTTTGTTACAGTAATCTTCATCTGTACAGCATTCTAGTGACCGCCTTTGACGTGAGTTCCCCGCGTCCTGAAAGACGGAAAAGTCATGTGAGGTACTTGGCTAGCATCTACAGTCAGGTTACAATTTCCTGCTTTATTAACTTAACCTCTTGTAATGCTTACCACCTAAATTAATTTTGGAAGGATTTGTGCCAGATGATGAAAAGAAAATGGCAGCAAGAGGAAGAAATTATGTGGATTATAATGTTACTTTCATCAACTTACTCTGCACTGAAATTCAGATCCGACCAGCCCAAGGCAACCTGCCGTCTGGACCGGCACCCCTCCCTCATCCTCCACCATTGTAAAACAGTAGCCATCCGTCCTGCAGAGGCAGATTTAGCGACAGTAGGTAAGGCGACCAGAAACATGACATGTTATGAAATAAATACTTGCTTTTGTTGGTGTTTCTCTTTACCTGCATGTGTTATTGGTTGAATCTTCTGGGCAGTGGTGATAACAGTGACACCACAGTAGTCTTTGGGAGGAGGAAGCAGGAGCTGTGCTGCCAAAAGTCTCCTTCCCACTCTCTGCTGCCTCCTTACTGGATGCTTTTAGCAGCATACTGTCCAATATGTTGCCTATACAACAGAGAAAAGAAGAAAATTACAAAAAATTAAATGGGAGAAAAACGAAATGATGAAGATCCACATCTCAACTTTCAGAAAGAGAACATTGCTAGAGAGTAGGCTTGCAGAATTTGGACATGTGCTATTAAATAACACAGCAAGTATTTGCAGTAGCATAGCCAGACTTGGAGGTTGAATAGTCTGCTGAAGTGGGAAACAAGTTGTACTGCAATTGTGGAATATGTAAAATTCACAGGCTTTAACATAGTCACTAATAGGACTACAACAGATACCCAAACAGTCACAAAATTTGTATTCAGATGGCATTTCTAAGTCAGAATTATGACTACCTCATGTCCCAACACAAGTCCTTAAATCTGTTCATGTACAGTAGGCTGTGACGAATAAGCTGCTTTGTAATATATGTTGATAAAACAGTTTCATGGGAGTTGCTGTATTGACTCTGTTCTTGTTTTTTCAGTGTCTGACAAAACTGTGAAAATAATTATCTGCTTCCTTTGCTTTCAGACGTCTCTTGCTTTTCTGTTGTATTAATTTAGTTCTCCGATATGTTCGTTACATTAGTAACATTTTGTAAGTGGTTTTGTTCTGTGACTCGGACTCTGCTGTTCATGGAGCATTTCATGAACCTTCAGTGCACCTGTAGCTTTTTAATCTCCCCTGCGGGAGAAGCTTAATATCTGCTCAGCGAAGCACTGAGCGAATAGATCCCAGCCAAGATGACAAATATCAACCCTACGTACTCAGTATTCACATCATAAATCCAGTTCACATGAGCAAACCGACTCAAATGAAATATAATCGTACCTACTCTAATGAAACAAAATCTACTAAGATGCAAATAAAGATAAAATGTGCAAGAAAAACTTGACAACATTCCAGATACGGGGGGAAAAAAACCCAAACTTTGAGCTCAAACACCTGCTATGAAACACGCTCTCTCTCACAGTCCCCTTACAAATGCTTCAGCTCCCGAAGCTGTTGTATTCCCTCGTTATCCTATTTCAAAAGGGCACCTGTTTGTCACTTGAGGGGAAAAAAGGGATCACGGAAGTGTCTCTCCTTCATGGCTTTTAAGATATTCATTCATCTGAGCATGCTCATTGGGACCAGATGCTTACAGCTGCAAGCACAGATGGTCCAAAACAAGCATGACTCTTTCTTCGCTGAAATAAACTATGAGCAGATACAGAATCTGCTCTCCTACTCCTATTTCAGCCTCTTGAGAAGGAAGTGTGTGCAGGGTTTGAATGTGATAGTGTTTTCATGAGCAGCCTTTTCTTATTTCGGGACAGATTTTTTTAAAAACAGTTATAGACATTTGTCATCTAGCACTTCCCTTTCTAAATGCCCCTCTTGTACACACAGATAATTATGTTGATGATACTGCAAAAGAGGGATGGTGGGGTTTAAAGGGGTCACATTAACAATTGACCAATTTGAGAGAAAGGGAGCGAGGAAGACTAGGAGGGGGAGAAGAATGGGGGATTAGCAAACAAGAAGTGACAGAGCTGCGGGGAACTGGTGGGCAGTTTAGCAGCACACAGAGGGGACAGAGCAGAGGCCACTGGCCTTTTCCACCCTTTCTCTCACTCTGCCCTCCACCCCATCACTCCATAATGCTCACTCTCTTTGTGTTTCATTTTGCTGCAGACCTCAAACTCCCCCTTTCTTCTTCAGGCCATATCTCTTCTCGAGCGCCTCCCTGCTTCTTTCCTACATGCGTTCCTTCGTTTCTCCATTCAGACTTGCTTGTGTACTTTTCTCCAACCCTTTCTTCTTTTCCTTTTTTTTTTGGTTCTCACCCACATGACCTGCCTATCTTTCCCTACTGCGTTGTTTTCCTCTTCTTATCTTCCACTTTCTTTGCCCCGTCTTCCCTGCGTGAGCCCACTGGATTGTCATGTGAGGTGCTGTTGCGCTGTTGACAAAACACAAAGCCCTTCACATCCATCCTGCACCTGGGATCTTTGGCTACTGCTCTGTCGTCGGCGTGAGCATGTGAGAAAGACAGTGGGAGGCAGACAAACAAGGAAAGAAGCAAAACGAAGGAAAAAAATGTAGAATGCCATTCATCCACCAAAACTGGAGCCAGGTGGCCAACTTAATGTTCTTGAACTTTTTGTGACTGTATAAAAAGGAAAGGAACTACATTATACTCAAACTGTAACACTGGTACACTGTGACACTTTTTTGGTCTTAGTTTTCCAACTCTTACAATAAAAAAGGCCTTTTATCTTTACAGAGATCCTGGGGTATTGAGTCATTTCTCTATAAGCCTGTGCCATCTGTTTATAAGGAGGAAGAGTGACCAAGGTGAAAGATGCAGTTGGTTGACAAAGTGCAAAGCTCTCACTCTACAATCTTATCTTCATGGAAAAGAAAAACATAGCCTTGAGTGAATTTAAGACATTCAAGTCATTTATTTATTTTTGTGTAAAACTGGACGTTAACTGATTGTGGCTGGTGAGAAAAATGTGCTGAACGTCTATCAATCAGCTCATTTGCCGGCCTCTCATCAGAGATCCTGGTGGTTGTTCCCTAATGAAAATGTAAATACATTTCAGCATGCACGGTTTGGTCTCAATTAGTGACCAATGGTACTGCTAAAATCTTACCAACTACCACTAACCTCACATAAGGCCATTGTCAACACTCAATTAACAACCATGTCCATGCCCTCCACTCGGTCCTTGAAAAAAACCAAATAAAAAACCCAAAAGCTGACTGCATCTTTTCAACAAATGTCATTTTATGCAGCGTGTTTCTTTAAAAAGGTGAAAGAATGAAAAACTAAATATATTTACAGAAGACAAAAACAATGACAGAAGTGATGCTGTGCATGAGAGAGCAAGATGAAGAGAAGCGATGTGGACTAAGATAGACAGAGAGGAACAGTAAGAGAAAGAGCGCGCATATTCATTAGTTATCCTGGCCATGTCAAACAAGGTCTACCAGAAAAGCTCTTTCACCAAAGTCCATGTAAACACTACCCCCTCCCCTTTTCCACTTACGACGCACTCATTTGACAACACGGCTCCCCTTCTCCCCTCAAAGTAGCAGTTCATCTTTTTGGTGTTTGACAGTTCAGTCTGTACACTAAAAGAAACGCACAAGGTAAAAGCCCTCCCCCCCCCCCCCCCCTCCCCTCTCGTGCTCTCACTCCCACTCTTAAGATTGTGTCTCTCTGTCTCTCTCCACCTTGATGTACATTCAGTTCCAGGTCTTATCTCCACGTTCTTGTTCCTGTCAGTGTTGAGATGAGCCGAGCCATCCCACATGTGCAGGAATGCGTTAATGAACCCCACTTTGCGATCTGAAGGCTGGATGCTTGGAAGTGAAGGTTGTCTGTCCTGGTGTTTTGGCTAAATTTGCTTTGAAATTCAAATGTGCTTTGCCTTTATCTGTGTCTCAAAGTGCTCTCTCCCCAACTGTGTGGTTGACCATGTTAACGAGGCACCATATAGAACACCAATTAACAATAAAAATAATCTTGAGTGTTTGGGCCTTGCTATTTGTTTTTTTAACGGGTTTTTTAAGATCTTAAGGAGAAATATCCGTCTGCAATTCATTTCTTTGGAGTTTAACGTCATGAATAAATATTTATGGAACATAATATTCTCGTCATTTGTTTATAGCCGATGGTAAGTTTAGAATAATATACTGGGGATAAAGTGTTAATCACCTATATCTCCACTTCTAAATCTTAAACACTTCAAGCATAAGTAAAAAAAAAGTTGGAATACTACTTTAATAGAGGGAGAAATAATGCAATTAGTAGCAGAAAGACAGAGAATGAATCACATTTTTGATGGAAACTTCTCCAACCAGAAGTTTTTATTTACTGTCAGTTCATGTTTCTGCTTTTTTTCCCACTGGGGCGAATATCACCATGACCATTTTTTCAAATGTCAGTCCTGCTTTTATGTGTTCGACCGGTCAACCCATGCTTATGTCTGGACAAATCACATTACAGCTATCTCTACTGTTTAATAGGAGCTCCAAAAACAGAGTTGTAAGAACTATGATGGTCCTCCGACACAGATAAATGGGGGTGTTTCCAGCAACAGTTGCTATAGAACCACGAGACATTTCCTGTGGTCTGAGAGTGCCCGGTGTTGTATGGCTCAGACTACAATCAGCTTTTAAAAGATTTGCTTCAGCAAAAACAGCACCATAAAGGTGAGAGCAAGGGATGCTGTTGCATTCAGGCTTTTTATCCTCCAACACAACAACATAATCATCAGCCCTTCAGACATCCTTCATTATGCCACACTGATGAAGCATTGAGCCACTCTCTGCTTATACAGCCTTCAGCAGCTGCCAGCTTTATGCTGTGTGTGTCTCTGTTTCTCTTCTTTCATGGGAATTCCTGACAAGGGCCAACGGATGCTGGAACTCTGACTTAGGCTACGTCCACACTAATGCGTTTTCGTTTGAAGACACATCGTTTTCTCTCCGTTTTGGCCTCCCGTCCACACTGAGACGGCGGTTTCGCTGATGGAAAACGCAGCGTTTTGAAAAACCCTCTCGAAAACGCATACAGTTGGAAACGGTGCTTTCACGTCACAGTGTGGACAGCGAAAACGCAGACTTTCTAAAATGATGACACATTTTAGGCATGTGATGCAGTCATGTGACCAATTAAACTAAGATAGCGGAGGGCATTATGCAGCAGTTGTTTTGTTTTCTCTGAATTTTGACAGCCCTACTAAAGATATCAGTCTGTACATGCTCCAGATAGCTTTTCTTCAAATTCTTTAACTTTCACTCGCTTTTGAAACTTTGTACTTTTGTGTTACTCGCAGCAACAACTCCACCTCATTGTTAGTCCATTTAAAAAACTCGGTGGTTTTCCTCAACATTCTGCCGTGACGTTTCAAAGAGCTGGAAAGTAAATAAGCGACAGACAGAAATGAGGCAGGTCAAATCTTCTTGCGCTTCATGAATGCACAGTACTGGAACATAAGCGTTTTTGGCCGTTTCAACGT